GTGAGAGAGTGTGTGAGAGAGTGTGTGTGTGTGTGTGTGTGTGTCAGAGTGAGTGTGTGTGAGTGTGAGAGAGTGTGTGTGTGTGTGTGTGTGAGAGAGAGAGAGTGTGTGTATGAGTGTGCGTGTGTGTGAGTGTGTGTTACAGCTGTGCGATTAATCAAAATCGAAACGAAATCGCGATTTGAGACGCTGCGATTTCCTAATCGCAAGTCCTGCGATATGGACGCAATATTACTCTGTTCCAGAGCATATGCATGACTGCCAGCCTTGAGTTGCAGTCTTACTAACCAATAGAGTGAGCGCACCTCCGTTCTCTCCAATCAGCACTGCTCTAGCCAACTGCGGAAACACCCACCATTAAAAGAAACAAAAAAAAAACAGAAAGCGGGAGAGAGACAGAGTGGGATTATGGCGTCTACTGGGTCAGATCGATGGTTCGGCAAATTAAAATTAAAAGAAAAACGTATGCAACTTAAGCTTCGGAATGACAGACAACAAACAAAAAAGTTAATTTCTAAGAGCTGCGTCACAGCGCATATCAAAAACATCGGTTCTGTTTTCAGTACTGGAGAATAAAAGATACATTCTTAATAGGGCTGTGCGATTTGGGGGAAAATATCAAATTGCGATTTTATACTGTGGCATATCTAAAACTCAAACTGCCCATCTTCAAGTGGTCCAGAACGCTGCCTCTAGATTCCTTTTAAAAAAGAAAAAAAGGGATCACATCACTCCGCTCTTGAAGTCCCTTCATTGGTTGCCTGTTCAGTATTGGTATTATTTGTCTTTAAATCTCTGCACAATCAAGCTCCCATTTATTTATCTGAATTGCTGCATCAGTATATCCCCTCGAGAAGCCTAAGGTCTTGCGACCAGAAGCTTCTTGTAATTCCGCATACCAGACTCAAGCGTAGAGGTGACCGTGCCTTCTCAGTAATTGGGCCTCGTCTTTGGAATGACTTGCCAGTGGAGATCAGAACGGCCCGTAGCCTGTCTATTTTTAAGTCTCTTTTAAAAACCCATTTGTTTTCATTGGCCTATTAGGACTATATTTTTGCCTATTGTATTTCTTATTTGTTCTTTAATTTTTGTATTACTAAATTTTTATGATGACGCCTCTTACTGTGAAGCACTTTGGTCAGTCTTGTGGCTGTTTTAAATGTGCTATATAAATAAAGTAAACTTAAACTTAACTTAAACTTTATTTTCAGCAGGCAAGATTATAACGGTATAACTACTTTTACAGAATTAACTTAATTACTGAAGTTCACAGAAAATATTTGTTTATTTTTTTATAAATAAAGAACTGTATTTCTTAAGTCAATTATTAAAGTATTACATGTGTTACATAGGCTGATTTATTAATTTTAAGTATTTGGGATTTTAAGAGCAAGTGGAAAATGTGCTGAATGTTTCATTTCATCCAAGTGAAATTAGCAAGCAGTTAGACTGAATTTACATTCGTTTTAAACGCAGAGCCAGGCGTGAGTCGACACAGGTTGCGCGCGTGTGTCAAGCCTCATCCATACTGCCAGATGTGCTCGTAGTAATATCGCGTCCATATCGCAGGCTTTGCGATTAGGAAATCGCAACATCTCAAATTGCGAATTCGATGCAATTTCGATTAATCGCACAGCCCTAATTCTTAGATGTTTTTGTTAGTACGTGAACGTTATCTTACACATTTTATCTCCCCAACAGATTAATTTGAAATAAGTTTATGATGCATGTTCGCTATTCCCAATTCAGAAGAGCGTACACACAGCCTGTGTCTGTGAATGCTTCTCATACTCGCTCCACTCTGCCCCACGCGGCGCGAATCCTGTGTCACGGACGAGCCGTTCATGCTTGCCGCACTCACGCAGCCGGTCTCGTAATGCTGGTTTATACTCGCACCCGGCTCCGCACCGCACGTCTCCACGAGCACATCTGGCAGTATGGATGAGGCTTGACACACGCGCGCAACCTGTGTCGACTCACGCCTGGCTCTGCGTTTAAAACAAGTGTAAATTCAGTCTAACTGAACATTTTCTACTTGCTCTTAAAATCCCAAATACTTAAAATGAATAAATCAGCCGATGTAACACATGTAATACAGTAATTAAATTAATTCTGTAAAAGTAGTTATACCGTTATAATCTTGCCCGCTGAAAAAAAAACAATAGAACCCCTCCCAAAACACAATAACAGATGTAATGTATTTCAGGGTTATAATGGGAATTGTATTGGTTTTAATGTAAACTATAATGGTGACTACTAGTATTTCATGGATTCTATTGGTGGGGTGTAATCTGGCAGATGGCAACCAATAGAACAACAGTAATTCAAATTGGAATAATGCCCAAAGCAAAAATGAATTTTGTAATGGTTTAATGGAAACTATAAGAATTTCTGTGATAGTTTCTATTGTTTTTTTCAGCAGGGTAATGATACCCATACTGTGCTGCACATTATTGGCAATATTGAGCTGAAGCTTGACTTTGCAAATTTAAAATCGCAAATCAAATCGCAATCGCAATATCTGTCAAAAAAATCGCAATTTGATATTGCGAGTGTGCGTGTGAGATAGTGTGTGTGTGTGTGTGCACGCGTGCGTGTTTGTGTGTGCGTGTGTGTGTGAGAGTGTGTGCGTGTGTGCGAGAATGTGTGTGAGAATGTGTGTGCGCGTGTGTGAGTGTGAGAGAATGTGCGTGTGTGTGAGAGAGAGAGTGAGTGAGTGAGTGAGTGAGTGAGTGAGTGAGTGAGTGAGTGAGTGTGTGAGTGTGTGTGTGTACCTGTCGTTGATGGTCCAGTTGAGGCAGAGGTTGAGGGACGTCAGGTTCCTGCACTTTCTCACCACCTCCATCACAGTCTCGTTGTTGAGCTCAGAGATGTGCCGCAGGTCCAGACTGCTCAGGTGCTGAAGCTGCAGGTCACACACACACACACACACACACACACAGTCAGCCCGCACTGCAGGTGCAGCAAATGATGCACATTAGTCACTGAACACTCCTAAAGCATCCCATTATCATCTCTATAGGACTGTGTTTGACCTCTACTGAATGGAATTAAGCGTCTCACCTGCTCTTTATGAACTGGAGAACAACTTTTCAAACGCAATAAAGCACAATAAACACTCATTTCAAAAGGGAAACATGATTTTGCATGATGTAAAACCCCCTTAAAATGTCACTTACACCGCAAGAACATTGATGCTCCTCAGTAGCTTTGTCTTTTTTTCCAATACAAATATCGAAACATTCTTAAATCAAGATATATTTACTTGAGAAGTAAAATGACATGAAAAATGCATCAAAATTAAAGGGTTTGTTCACCCAAAAGGGGCAGAAAGCTCTGGGATTTCATCAAAAATATCTTTGTGTTCAGAAGATGAATAAAGGTCTTATGGGTTTCGAACAACATGAGGGCGAGTAATTAATGACAGAATTTTTATTTTTGGGTAAACTATCCCTTTAAGTGAGTTTTTGCTTAAGAAGTAAAAATATCTACTACTGGAAATATTTAAGCAGCAAAACAACAAAAAATAAAACTAAGAGGAAAATTAATCACACACAAATTTTTTTGATAAACTGAAATAATGCAACATGAATAAAAATTAATCTAATCCAAAAATATAATAAATGCAAAATTATTATTTTTTTTAACTCAATAAAAAAACTCACTTAACTCCAAGTAAGTTTATTAAAGTTACATAAAATCAATTTCAGATTTTTTATAAAACTTTTGAAAAGTAATGATACGAAAAAAATGATAAACTTATGCAAAGTAAACGAAAAATGGACAGCTATTCTAAAACTATAAGTGCAAAATAAATGTAACAGTTAATTTTTAATTCAAAATACATTAATTATTTTAACTGAAATATATAAAAACAAAATACATATTTCTTCGTGAAATAAAAACTGAAACTAATAATACTTTCGCTGAAATCGGTGCTAAAAAAAGAAAATTGTGCTAAAATAAACAAAATGACAGAAAGTGCATTTGTTATTATAGCCATTGCTGATTTATCTCCACAAAATGTGATGTATGACATGAAACCTTCAACACACGGGTTTATTTTCTTGTTTTAAGCATAAACATGCTTAATTTAGATATATTTTTCAAAAAAGAAGAATTTATATCTTAAGTAATTTTGCTTCCCAAGTGCATGCATCTTGATTGAAGAATGTTTGGATATTTGTACTGGAAAAACAAGACAAAAATACTGAGGAGGAGCATCATGTTTTTGCATTGCAATGTCGATGTCAGTGATCAGCACCTGCTGGTTACACGAAACAAGTTTCATAAATGAAAACAATCCCAAATCATATCTGAAGGCGCTTCATTGACTTGCGCTCTGACTCTACAGCGAGCCTCTGCATGCTGTGCTCTTGACCTTAATGAACGCAGAAATGCAGCGCCCACGGCCGAATTACCCATGATTCCTGCTCTGCTCCTGACCCCAGTGACCGGGAAGAGAACTGGAGGCGCTAAACATGCTAAAGCTGATGGGCTGAAAAATGTCACGGAGCGAATATAACTGCACATACATTACGATCCATCACATGTACTCGCTGCAGAAAACAGAAAACCCTTAAAGATATACTGGATCATATTTGACACATATTTCTAAGGCCTCTAAATGATCAACATTTGCTGTTTCACACTCAATCTATGTCTTCTAGGGCTGGGTAAAAAAATATCGATATTAATCGATTCTCATTTTTGCATGAAATGCATTTTTGATGCATTTCTGGAAACTGAGCGTAAAAGCGTCTTAAAGAAACAGTTCATTAAAAATTTTAAATTGTGCTATCATACAACAAAAAAGGTAAAAATCCTGCCTGAATATGATATGGGTTTGAAATGACATGAGATTTAACATGTTTAAAACAAGATGTTGAGAAGCAGATTTGAGTATGTTAAGATTTGCTTTCCGAGAGTATAACTTGAAATGTATTAATTTTTTTTCTTTATGATCAAGCATGGCTGTCGAGTTAAAAAAAAAAAAAAAA